CAAGAAATATAAAATTGAGGTCTGGGTCACATGAAATGTATTTATGATAACTGAATCAGATAAATGAATCTTTGGAACTATAATGAGCCATAAAAAGACCTGATAACATAAACAAGAAACACATAAAACAAAAAGTACAGAATAGAGTAGCAGAGATTTTCACTTACCGCATATTTCCCCGTCACCTGGCGGGCTTTGAGTCTTTCGTGGGGAGAAAGTGCAGACTCACCTCCTCTGGCTCTCGCTCCTTCTCTTCGTCTTTCTCAGCAGAGTCGAACCTGTCTCATCATGCAGCTTCTTCCATTTCCTTCTCCTCCACCTCTGTCTTGATTCCTCCACCCATGGGACTCGGGACAATGGTCCACCCCACCATACCATGTACTGCCCTGACATCTTAAACCTCTGGGAAGCGGAACACCCATATTCCCTTGCTTATGTGTCAGCTCTCGCACAATAAGTGGAGCAGCCCCCGAAGGCCTTCGTTTGTCCTCCTCACTGTAGACAGGAGGACAGGACACCAAAATGACTTTCATTCACCTGTTCATCTGGGGAGAAAGGGATTTGGATGCTTCTAGCATCGAGTCTTTCACTGTGTGATTGTCACAGATATCAGTTTATAGCAAAGATGCATGTTACAAACATGTGGATCATATTACAATCACCACTGACACCAGTACAATAACCAGTTTAATAAAACCATTGAGGCCATTTAAACCATTTTTTGAGCCACCACAATGTTAAAGCAGCATATCTTTGTTTCTGCTTTAATGTCTATTTGTTAAAACATACTGTAAATGTGAACTGAACTGACTTGACCCCTACATTCTTCGCAATGACTCGTATTATCTATTATCGTATTGTCCTACTTGGCAAATGCAATTCATCTATCCATGACGTCAATATAAGATAAAACAAACCAAAAGGTCTAAATATTTGATCTAGTTCTGCTTTTATTCCAAGGTAAATTCTATTATCTAATTTTAGATTTCATTAGATTTTAAGAAAAAAATATGTACATTATGACCTTGTGTACAGTATACGGCAGAGTAGTAAATTCTGGCAGTAGCTACTGGACAGATAGGGCAGCAACAGGTACTTAGCAGGTTTATGACCCACGTCCACAGGTGGGTGGATTGTTTTTATGGCCTGTCATTAACATTTATCTGATCACTTGGGCCTGTGCAATTGTTTGTGCAGCCTTTGTTATTACTTGACATTCAAGTCATGAGGCTTATGGACTGGGTTCTACATTGCCTATCAGTGCATGGCTGTATTGAGCACAGTTTCGATTCTGCACTGTTCAGGAAGGTGCTAATCATAAAGGCAGCTAAAAACCCTTCATTGTTTTATTCTCTCTCTCAGTGAAGCTTCTTTCAGCCAGATGAAAAGAAGCAGTTTGTGCCACCACGTCACAGCGTCTCCTCCTTCCTCAGGACAAACATGGAGTTAGCAGTGACAAGGACAGGTTTTAGGTAATACTACATTTAAAATAATGTTTTGACATGTTTGGAAACACATGTAGGATTATTTGCTTGCTTGCTTGCTAAGAGTAGGATGATGTATGAAACATTAAAAAATCCACCTACTTGCTTAAAGAGCACTTCATTTGTACTCAAATGGAACTGAAAAATAACTCTTATGTTGTACATGCAGCTACAGCCGAGTGCAGTGACATCATAGGTGTTTGTGTACAGGGTCGCCACCTTCTATGTGAAGAAATACCCCCACAAGGTGATGCAGAGATTTTTGATAATTCAAATGCTGATACACACTCTTTAATGTGCTTATAAGCCAAAATAACAAAAATATAAAGAGCAACAAAAAAATCTAGCCTAATGCTGATTAAATGTTTTGGTTAAGTTTCTGTGCACAACCAGCACCGTTATTACTTAACAGTGTAATTGATATACTGTATGTGAACTCTGCAGCTGTTGCCTGCAAAGCAAACAAGTCATTAGATTTAGATTAGATTTGGCTATTAAATAAAAAATCATAGTTTAATACCTTTTTCCTACGCTAGAAGAAAAACATTTTTTTAATTCTGGGTTATTCAGACAGAGAGGGATATTTATGTACAAGATGTTTTAAATTGTGTAATTTCACATTAGGTAGGCTATCAATCATATTCACAAATTATAAAATCAATAGTTGATTAATCTTAAATCCCAAATCTAAGTGAATAGATGGAATATTAGCATGGTCAATTTGCTGATTATTGATTTGCTACCTATATTGGTTTTGGTGTAACATATTCTAACATAAACTATAGTTTTTGCTCTCATAGTAAAGCAGGCCAGCTGTTGCCCCCTGCTTTCAGTCTTTTTACCAAACTTAACACCTCCAGACATAAGTCAGTCTTCTCATCTAAGTCTTGGCAAGAAAGAAAAGAAGTGAAATTTTCCAAATGTCAAATGATTCTTTGCCAAATGAGAAAGAGATGAAAGATATTCACATGCAAAATTCCACTTTCTGTAATTCATAAATTCAAGATGGCTCCCAAGAAACATTTTTCAATCACCTGAACTTTAATATAATCAGGTTGTCATCTTTAGAAATACATGGGTGTAATAGTTCCAGATTATATGCTCCAAAATGCATCAGTTTAAATATCACCACAAACTCTAAACAAACACCTATCATGTGTAGGTAAATATTCATACTGATTCTTCTGGCTTAACATTTGGCTATTTATTAAAGGGCATATGGTGATTGTCTTTTGCAATGGCCCATGCCCATGTCTTAATGAAGTTTCTACAGCAGATGTTTTGACTTGATATAAAAGGAAAAGCACAGGTGTATTACACAACAGGTGAGAATTACACAATACGTGTGTAAGAATGAATCACACATTCTAACAGTCTTTTGTCACTGCAGACTTTAGCTGTGTCCCAAATCCGTACTACATACCAATTATTATGTAGTGTTAATACTGAAAATGTGTCGAAATCAAGTAAACTCCAAAAAGTCTGTAGATACACTTAATTTGATTTTTGAGCATGATGTTGACAACAATGTAATGCAAATATGAAACAGAGAAGATACTCATGCACAGCTGGATAATATTAAAGGTCATTGAGGATATCTTGGAAGCAAACTGAACAAAGAGAAAGGAGTAGCTTTCTCTTTCTTAACTTTCCACGTTTTACATCAGCAACTGCTTTTCAAAGTTGCTTCAAAGTCTTAAAGTACAAGTCAGGAGACACTTATTTTAGCATAAAGACTGGAAACAAGGGAAATCTGATCTAATCTAATCTAAATATTTTATATCTTATTTGTTTAATTTGTAGAGCAAGAGTGTGAAAACATCAAATTGTTGTTTTTATGGAAGGTTATGTGCAAGGGTATTTTTTGACTAGAGGCTCAGAGGCTGATTTACTCAAGTCCCAAAAACGTTGAGCTGGCCCTTTAAAACATTTCTTAATGTACTTTCTCCTGGTGTCCTATTTGGCAAACACTAAACTTTGCATGTCTTGAAAAGCTGTTGAGATGTGTAGTAACTTTATATTGTAAAACCGTGTCTAATATATGAGGTCAAGCACTATTATAGTTTGACAAAGTCCACTAACTTACACTACAGAAAAAATAAATAGAGAGGTCTGAAATTGCTGTTATGTGTTTAAAACACCTCAGGATAACATTTCAGGTATGGTAGCTGTTCTTCTTGTTTCCTCTTTAGAGGAGCAGAGAGCATGCATGCTTACTACAGCACAGTGTTGTCCTTTCTCAGCCACCACTCTAAAACCCTAGATCCGCCCCTGCTATGTTACACAATTTTGCACAAGCTGCTCTTTGCTTTTTGTAAAATAGCAAATTTTAAAAGTAATCTTTTTTTTCCCTGCTTGGTTGTCTTCTTTTTCATTTTCTTTATTGCTCACTTGATTTTTGAATGACGTGAACTATTGAATAGGACTAAAGAAACTGGGTGCACTGCTGCTGAGTATATTTCTCAGACAAATAATCTCTGTGAGATCTGAGGCTGTGACGCAGCTGTGCCATCCAATAGAGCGTGACTCATAACATCTGAGAATTGTTTTCCCAACCTCGGGTTTCTGTTATGTCAGATACCTGCTCAGACAGTTGATGATGTCATCATATCACAATGTTTCTGTGTGTATAATAAACAAGACGCATATTTAGACTTATTTTCTGAAACACTTAAGTAATAATATAATTCAGGTGTATGAAATAAACAAGAACACACAACTTTGGACACAGCTACATGGTTTGAATGTATCAGAAATATTTATAAATGATGTCTAAGGAACTGTGGAGATGCCACAAAGTGTAAAACCACATTTATATTCCTACAGGAATATTTAAATGTTATTATATGAAATATTGGGAGCCCACGAATACCAATACATACGTGAGTGTAAAATCTCTAAAGTGCTATATACAATGGTACAATAAAATATATGAAGACCTTTACACATGAAACGCCACTATAAACTGTCATAATCAAAATATTGCAGAAATATTATAGTGATTCCTTAAGTATAAAGATCAGGGACAGATCCCTTTTTTTGCCCTTTTTTATTTCAAATGAATTTACTTACATGTGGCTTGTAAAACCATGGCATTGTTATTGCTGTTGTTATTATTGCCTCCATTATTATTATTAATGTTGCTATATATTTGCTTTTTCTGTACAGTCTACTTTTACTATTTTGCAAGTGCATACATTATATTTGTATGTTGTGTGTGTACACTGTATCACTGTCTGTCTTTGAAATCTTCACATAATGTTTTGTCTTTCTTGCACCAATAAATAAAAACATTCTTTTAAAAATTATAAAGGAAACTCTTAACGACAGCCCACATAATTAGAAATGGTTTTGCAATATGTGCACTAATGCAAAGAGACTTGCCAAATGTACTACAGAAAGTTGGGGCGTTCACCAAATATGGTCATACCGGAAAAGTTTTTGTTACCACCCCCTTATCACGTCATGACATCTGAGGCTTGAATTGTCCTCTATAAGTTGAATTCACAGCAGCCTTGTATACATTCGACAACAACCAGAGGGGTTATAATCAATAATTACCTCTGAAGAGTAACTTAACTTGTGGTGGTGCTCGCGCAGCCTTGAGTCTTTACCTTTGTGTGCGCCTGCTCGTTGAGTTTCTCTCCTAACAGGTTTGACCAGGACACACCTGTGGGAAGAAAGAGGAAACCCTGTGTGCGACGACGCTTTCTTTACTCCCTCTCTGACCTTTGAGGACGACGGACAGACAGAGGATCGACAAGGAAACTTTGTTTTAGATTTTATTAAATTCATCATGAAAATGTGGATTTTTCTAGTCCTTGCTGCCATTGCGGCAGGAGCCTCAGCTCAGAACTGTAAGTAATTTGATTTATTAATCTTTATCAGGCTAAAATGTCTTAGGAAGCAGTTTGGGCTAGACATGTAGCTTCTATTATCTAACTTCAACAATGTTTAGTACTTGAATAACTTAACAGGAATAATAAGTTAAAATATTAAATGTATTTCTTTTAACCAGCTGTAGTGAATTACTGCTCACCTGTCTGTACCTGGCTCACCTGTCTTGTCGTGTAAAGAGACTTTATTAAGGTGTTTGGGTATCACGCAGTTAGTTCAGTTGGTGAGTGGGGGTTGGGAAGGTTTGTCCCGCTCTTTGGGGACTAGGCTGTTTAGAGAGACCAACGCCCAGGTGTTCGGTAAACCTGCTGCTCTACCTGCTGTACTTAGCCTCTTCTGTTTATAGTTCTGCATAGACCGTTCAATAAAACCTTTATTGAACAGGGTTACATTAGGTCTGATAGTTGGATGCGTATTTGGAATTCTAACCAGATCATACTGTAGAACTTTGTCCAATTGTGCGATGTATTGTTTAACGCAATCACAGCACAGGGATGTTAAAATTAAGCCATTAGATATTTGAAAAATTAAATCAAATGTTGTCGTTGGATTGTTAACTAATACATATGCTTTGTTTTGTCCTGAATGGGGGAAAAAACAACGTTTTTCCTTCTAGGTGCATGTGGAACTATGAAGTGGGCCACCTGTGATGGAACTCCATGTTCGTGTTTCCTTTTGGTTGACAACGGAAACCGCCAAACGCTGGATTGCAACAAATGTAAGTAATGATGTGATCAAACCCATAGACTTTCTTTCATTCAACCCTCCCTTTGCAGGCTGTTCTGTCCTTGCTTGCTCATGATGTGCCTTATGTTCACCTTCAGTGATCCCGAAGTGCTTCCTGATGAAGGCTGAGATGTACAGAGCCAGAAAGGGCCTGAGCACTCGTGGAGTAGGAGGAAAGCCAGTGGAGACTGCCTTTGTGGACAACGATGGCATCTACGACCCTGAGTGTGAGAATGACGGCAAATTCAAGGCCAAGCAGTGCAACAACACAGAGGAGTGCTGGTGTGTCAACAGCGCTGGCGTGCGTAGAACTGACAAGGGAGACAAGGACTTGAAGTGTGAGAAGCTGGTGGAGACCTAGTAAGTAATGTCATCCTCATCAGTGTGGAGGACTGATATTAGTATGAACTGTTGAAATGTGCAACGCTGAAATGTTTACCTTTTTTTTGTTTCATCTTATTTTTTTCTTCAGCTGGGTGCGTCTCCAGCTGACTCTCAAAGAAGTGAAAACTCCAGTGAATGCTGACAATTTGAAGAGGTAAATATATAACGACCTCCATTTTGAGGGGAAAAAAGCACACCCACGTTGTTGCAATTGGAGTTTCAGTATTTCACAATTGTAATTTCTTGCCCTATTACAGTGCCATTGCGGATGCCATTCACAAGCGTTATGATAACTTCAACAAGGACATGGTGAAAAATGTCGAGGTGAGTGTCTGATTTGGGGTGGAAAAAAATAATGTATCTTGTATCCTCATGTTTAATGTATTTAATTTTGAGCAATGCATCACAAAAACACGCCACTAACTGACTGACAAAGCATCCTGTCTGTTGTTCTGCAGTATGACCCTGACGCCCGCATGATTGTGGTGGATGTGAAGAAGCCAATGGGAGAACGCAAGAGTGACCTGACCCACATGGCCTATTACATGGAGAAAGATGTATGTGTTTTTTTTTGTTTTTTATTCAGTACAATATACTGAAGATAATTATGAATGCTGAAAGAGTCATTTCATATCATCTCATCCTCCTGCAGGTGAAGGTGCTGCCCCTGTTCAAGGACCAGGAGGCATTTACACCCACTGTGGGCAGCCAGAAGCTAGAGATGGAGAACATCCTGGTGTACTATGTGGACGAGGAGCCCCCGACTTTCACCATGAAGCACCTGACAGGCGGGATCATTGCCGTCATCGTGGTGGTGGTGCTGGCTGTGATTGCCGGCCTGCTGGTCCTGGTGAGTGCATGTTGATGTGTCATTATCTGTTTGGATGAAGCGCAGTGTAGATTTTCTTTAAGATGCAAGTCACTGACTTTTTAAACATTTTTTTGTATAGTTCTTTGCCAGAAGGCGTCACAATCAGCGTTACAGCAAAACTCAGGTGAGATGAACTTCTGTAACTTTTTATTTTTCAACATCAATCTTTGTAAAAGTTACTTGGTGCATCACAATTGTTTAACCTGTTTTTGTCTCCTGTCTATAATTCAGCAAAGAGAGATGGAAACCATGTAAAGTCTTCATTGCAGCAGGAGCCTATGAAGAGTCTGCTCATACATCACCTTTGGATGAACTTTTTTGCAGTGGGAGTGTGCCATTTTTACCATTTTACTTGAGGATTGAATGCAGATTGTAAAGTTACAATTAACTTGCTCTTTGACGTTATCATTGTTGGCACTACTGGTTCTGCCATTTATTTATAAATTGTGTAAAGTCTTAACACATCTTCCAATCGTTATGCCATAAAGAACTTTGCTTTTTAAAATATGCTTGGCACATGCCTCATGTTAATGTTAGAACTTGCTGAATGGTTTAAAGTCCACATCATAGATTGTACAGTTTCTTTCTTACTAATGAGTGTTTGATGGATTGTTTTTAATAAAAAATATGTTTTAAAAAGACTCCTGATGTTGTGCAGGTTTCATATTGTTGCAAAGGTTTGACAGAAGACTCTTTAGTCTCAGTGGAAAATTACAGCAGACTATGGGGGAAGGGAACGAGCCTACAGGAAGCCACTGTGACCACCTTTTTGCTTGTCTTAACACATGATCAAACTCATCAAAGTTCCTTTGGCACTGATACCTGATATAAAGTCAGCACAAACACATGATGTGCTCAATCGATTTCAGTACATGCACATTTTCAGCTCAAAGCTCTCTGACATGTAAGATGGCTGCTTTGATAAAGGTGGATTGTAATAAGCCTTTTGTTTACATGGGGCAGGTCCAATGGAGGCTTTCTACTACAATAGGTGTGGCAGTCCTGTTTTGAATCTGTGCTGGTGTGGTTTGTTTACTTTAAGGGAAACTTTAACCCCTTCTATACCATGAATTGTTGACGGTTGACAACAGAAAATACACCTGTTGATTAGTCATTCTCAACCAGCATGACTAAGGTGAAATCTTGACAGTAAAGACATAAAAACACTTGTGACTCGAGTGACTGTGTTTTCCTTTTCTTTTTTTCTTTTATTTTTAGCTGATACTGGTTGTCTGAGAACACCTTGCTATTTGACAACACCTGTTAGTGTCAAGACATTTCTAGTTGTATCTGTGAAACTGTTTGGGCATCGTGTTCAACCTGTCAGTCAGGTTCTGGCTCATTCATAAATGAACACATGCAAGTATGTACATAACACATACTGACTTTAAGCAATACCGCAGAAGCCTTTATTCACAAGTCAGGTGAAAAGTCAAAGTCCGGCACAGGCAAAGAAGGAGAAACCGTCTTAATTGAACAAAGACACGAAAGAGTGTGAGGTGAGAATTAGTTGCACAACAAACTGGAGACTGTGTTATGTGACGTTCAGGTGAAACTGCGGAAGTAAAAATTCCTTGGGTGTCCTGTCAAAACATGATCACAGTGGTTTGTGTGGCTGTGCTCTCCCTGAAGGCGGCAGTCCCTATTTAACCTTTATGACACAGTGGAGTCAAAATGATGGTTAAGTCTCTTTTTCAAGTCACACAAAGGCAACACAGTGACAAAAACAGCTGCTAACAGTTTCATAACTGGCAATTAATCCAGTCTAGTTTACGTTTACATTCACCTTTATTTTGAAAGTACATATCAGCAATACCTTTGATTGGTAAACATGAATATGAACTCCCTCTTTGATTCTCCTCCATTCCTACAGTTTTGTGAGCCACCTAAATAATACTATCAATCATTTGTCTATAATATATAGCTTCATTTTGCCTCACCCAGGTTTTCTTCCCTGTGCTGTTAACCCTCCCCCCCTTTGTCTCCATAGCAACAACTGCACAAAAGCATGTCTCTAACTAGTTCAGGCAGGTTAGGTATCATATATCTTCCCCCACCCCCTTTCCCCTCCCCCGTCACGCTCTCTCGTCTCTCTGAAAGACTACAGGAATGAGGGTGTGTCGGTTGCTGTCAGGCACCTGTTGCAGGTATCAGTATGTCAGCACCAATGAGGAAGCTGGAGGGCAAATCTGAGGGACGGGGCAGTAGAGGGACTGATGTTATGGTTTCTATGGATCTTGATAGCTTCCCTGAGGGCAGGTTTATTACCTCAATCAATAAAAGAGCAGATAGTCTAGAAACCAGTCACTCAGTTTGCTGTAGTTAAGTTTATTCAAGCTTTAGACTTGTACAATAACTATATCACTTATTCCAAGGATGATTTAAATACAATGTATTTCATGAGACAAATAAATATAATACCTGACAATTCTCGCTGTATACAGGCGTAAGACAAAACTGGGAGGAAAAATCATTTTTTAAAAGTACCTTACACAACAAAATGTTCTGTTTTTCCAGTTTATCTTTAAGTTAAAAGGGTCACTCTATCTGATCCTGCTGCTTCATTAAAATCCCTTCATATTCTTTGTCGCACCAGGTAAGGTATGAAAACAAAAGAAAACACCCTTGTTCTCTTTAGGATCTTCTCTACAACTACTGTAAATTTCCATCAATCTATTCTCTCAGCGTTTTCCACATCCTCTTTCTATCTTCCTCTGAGTAACACTTCATAAATACAGACTCAACTTCTCTTCCCATACCCTAACCGTACAATAGTTTGCTAAATGAAGTGTTGGCATGATGCTGACTTTGGTCATTCACTCCACCAGAGACTGTGTTCAAGTGTTTGAACTCGATTAAAGTTTCACCGCTCTCCTGGCTGTTCAGTAACTAAGAGCACACAAACTGGTTTCCTCTTATAAAGTTCAGTCTTTCTCAACAAAACTAGCTCATCCATTCTACATTTATGACATCTGTTGCATAGAAACACAAACATTTTCACTGCAGCTGGTTCATGCTCTTTTTGAAGTGCTTCTTCAGCTGCAGGTGGTTGGTTTCCTGTTATTGCCTCCTGCTTTCATCATATTGTTCAGTATCCTTCATTATACAACAATAGAGTCACTGTGCTCTACAGGAGAGCAGAAAAAGATACAAAAAAAATACCCTCTAAATTATTCCTTCATAAAGCATCATTACCTCTTCTATATTGTGTATGACTGCATTATTTTTGAAGGTGGAAATACAAATATTAACTCCAAACAGCATCTTTATCATAGGAAATGTATCAGACTGCATAGATTAATGAGACGTTTCAGAGTGCTCAGTTTGTCAGTAAATACTTTTGACTTTTCTCTTTGGAGTCAGAACATAAAAGCAACACACTCATCAGGGAGACAAAAAATGTCCCTGGAGAACGTTCAGTAAAGCTTCTTATTTGTTCCTAGACACCCTTGTTCCTTAATATAAAGCTCAAAGCTCCAGTTTAAGCCCAAATCTCATAATGTGTTCTCTGAGAAAGGCATGAAGTATCCTTTCATGAAGTGACTGCTTAAAACTGTAGGACATCAACTCCCAATGATCCTGTATGACCATCAGTGAACTGCTGCAAGGGGAGATAGTATTTGTCACTTCCAGTAAGCAGAGTACTGGCCACTACACACACCAGAAATGAATCTGGCCCAGTGAGACTATATGACAGATGATTGAGTCCTACTGCAGCTGTACATAAGTCCCTTGTTTACAATTTGAAGTAAGGTAAAAGGCAGCTCAACAAAATGAGTATTTCTCAGAGAGATCAGGGCGTTATACTGTCATGTTGTCACAGCAGCGTAGGGGTCTTGCTGGGGCGTCCCTGTGCTGGTGGGGATTTGCTCCTCAGCTCTTTGCTCTTCAGGCAGACGGGCTGGGCCACCATCAGAGCCGGGGCAGAGAGGTGGTGGGCAGCGGCCTTCTGCTGATGAGCACTGTTGATGTAACCGGATATGAGGAGGGTGATTTCCCTGATCTGTTGACCAAACAAAACAAAAGCGATGTCAGTGTTTGTTTCCATGTATGAGTGACTGTAAAATTCACTTGCAAATCTTCTATGTTGTATTGTTTGGAGTTTCGCAGATTAGACCTGCACGTTTGTCAATTGGTCAAACTGTAAACTAGATTGATAGTGTTATGTGACCGATGTGTGTACATACAGTATACAACTAAACTGAGATCACGCCTGGTCAATATCACTAAAATGTTAAATAATTACAAATTCTGTCCATTTAATACAATTTCATTAGTTTTTTTATCCAAAGCCCAAGAAGAATTTAAGATAATGTTTGACTAATTAAACAATAAAGAAAGTTCATAGTTCAGAACCAACTGCAATAAAAGTCAGTACATCCTTCATTAGTAAGATTCAATTATTATATTCTTTAAAAGGCCCCATATTGTATAATATGTATTGTATTTTTTGATTATAGAGCTGGTCTAGGTTCTATATTAATACTGTGAAAGTATCATAGTGCTCAGTCCACAGAGAAATGCACACAGCCTGTATTCAGAGACTGAGCCTTAAAACAATCTGTCAGGACTTCTTGAACTTTGTGATGTCACAACAAAGCAGCCACGACTCTCAGCCATGACCCAAGCTCCGCCCACCTGGACCCACCATCCAATCTGGCAGGATTTTCTCTGAGTGTTTACCTGAAATCTGCTATATTTTTAGTGGAACACTCAGAAAAAAGACAGCTAATCAGACCTATTGTTACTTGAGCTCCAGAAAGAAGCCTGAGAGAGGAGATGTAAAACTACAGTGAGTTGGTTTTTGATTCTTAAAACCATAAACATATCTTCTTATGGATCAACACTTCAAACAATAACAGCAGAAAAGTGTAAAATATGGAACCTTTAATATTCTGTATGTCATTATTTTTGATAGATCTATAAAATACTCCAATGGTTTTCTATTGGATTCAAGTCAAGGACAATTCCTCTCCTGCCAAGCTTCTTGAGACCAGATGTTGTCTTTTCATTCAGTATTTGGGTTAACAAACTCACATTCACAGTGCCATCTATAAACACCATCTCTTCTACACCATGTGTCACTGTCAGTGCTCTGCAGTCACTGTAGTAGTCCTGGCCAGGTCCAACACCAAAAATCCTGGACCCCATCTGATCCCAACACATTTATTATGGTTGCATCTGACTGAAGAATATGCTGCCAACATCCATCAGGCCCCTTTTCATGTTATTTGGCAAAGTGTAACGCTGCAGTTTTGTTCTGTTTTGTGAGCAATGGTTTTCTTCATGTAGTGTCCTTTGTACTGTCTGATCAGTCACTGAAAGACCAGCTTCCACAGATTATCATTGTGCCAAGTCAGAAACACTTTCCCGTCTGTTTTTCAGTGCAAGGCTGTGTAAATAGAGAATTGTGTCTGGCATCACTGCACCTTCTGTTACAGGTAGTATGTCTCTTCCTGTACAACCGAACCCCTGCTGCAGCTGTGTTTCTGCTTATGTTCAGTGGCCTTCCCGCTTCTCTTTTTATGAAGCCTCACAACCTGGTTTCTTACTTGTTCCTCACCATGTGAAGCCATGTTTCATTAGACACAACCAAGACCTAAACTGAGGAAGTTGTGGTGTTCACTGGTGACTTCATGCAATTCAGCTTAACTGGAAATAACTGGTGTAATCACTTTAGATGCAGTGATCACATGTAGACTGATTTTTGTCACCATTATAACTACACGTCATGCTATGTTAGAAATATATAAAAATAAAGGTAAACAGTGTTTTTGATCAGTTCCACAACAAAGACCACATACAGTACACTGGTAAACTCTACCTGAGTGTTTGAATTGTGATAATGTGATAAACTCTACCTTAGACAGCATTCCCTACGTAAAACCTAATGCTGGTGTGGATCTCTCACTAACCTTGGAGGTGTCCATAGCAAACAGATGTTTCTCTGTAGGTTTGTCTTTGCTGGTGTTGGTTCCGCTGCTCTGTCCCACCACCAGCATGAAGTCCTGTTTGCAGCCTCCAAACGTCATCAGGTTCTTGTAGGGATGGGACACCAATGGTTTCTAAACACACGGATGCACAGATTTATTGATTTATTTATTGAACACAACATAACATAAAAGCACATACAGTGCATTCAGAAAGTGTTCAGACCCTTTCACTTTTTTCACATTTTGTTATGTTACAGCCTCTTGCTAAAATCTTTTAAATTCATTTTTCCCTCATCAATCTACATTACTCAATACCCCATAATGACATAGTGACACATCTTACATAACCTCATTTGTACTCTGTGGCAGCAAGTTTCAATTTAAAAAGTCATGTAAAGTTAGTCATTATTTAAGCTACATTGTAGACTGTACAGACACATAGAAATGTCTGTTTTCAAAGAAAACAAAACACCGCCTTGATATGTGCTAATTGTTCAGCATCAAATCACTTTGTTTACTCTTTTATGCTTCACAGGTTACGTGACAAATAAACATCATCTCTATTCCCACTAATGTCAGCAGCGAATGAAGAGAGCAGATGCAGAGCAGACAGTTGTCAGGGCCCTGTTACATCACAGATGCTTACGATAGAGTTGTGCTCCAGAACGCTGATACCATCCTCATGTACCGCCAGCCAAACACGCACGTCCTGCTCTGGAGAGGAAGTTATAGACTAAAACCAGAGAAAGAAACAGGGAGTGAGATCAATAATATGCAACACTGTGATACAGTGGGGGTGAATACAGACAATATATCATGGTGTGGTAATAATGTTTGTGTTCTTCCTCACTGAAGTGGAGATACATAACACAAGTACAAAAGTAGCTTGTTTACACACCACAGTCGCACCTGTGACATCACAACATGTTTTACCTGTGACCAAAAAAGAGGAAACCCCTGTATAACCACAGTTTTTGTTGACACTGTGCCAGTGAGGTGTATGTAATGAATCACGTTGCCTGGTACTTTGTTGCTTGTGACTGTGCAGAGGTTTCTATTCCTTCTCTTTCTTCTCCTTCTTTTGTGTACACCAAGAGTTTATTTAGTTTATATGTTTATATCTATTATTTGTTCAACACTGAGAGATTAGAGCAAATAATAATACTTTGTAAGACTGTTTTTACTGCTAGGCTGATGATAAGATTTCATTTAATTTACAAGACATTATAGACACACACACACACACACACACACACACACACACACACACACACACACACACACACACACACTTACCTCTGCTTCAAACAGTTTGGCACCAAAGAACGGCCACTTCCTGGCAACGGTCAGGTAGATCCTGACGCACTCAGATGAACTTCGACCTCTGAGTGAGGCCCAGCGGGCAGAGAGACGCTGCAGCAGTTGCCTGAGAAGGGCAGAGGGGGAGAGGACAATACGCCGGTTAATCATGCAATGATATACAGGTCCAAAAAAAACTCAAGCACAGTCATAGTTTGGGGCGTCTAAATGGCAGCTCTCAACTCTCAGTCAACTCTGAGCAGCGTGTGAGCTCCTTTGTGGATGAACTAAGGTTGAAACACGCAGCTGCCCAGGACGCATTTAGTAGCCAAGTGTCCATTTACTTTTGAACCCCTAACATCTGGACACTCTGTGTTAAAAGGGCATAGCTTTTAAAATACTGTAAACCTACTCATGTTAAAGCAGCTACATGGCACTTAAACGTAGTAACCATGATTTTATTTCAAATTGAATCTGCTGCAGCCCACAGTCTGAGGATAAAAAAAATGTGTAACTGTTCAAATATTTCAAGTCTGGACCGTAATTAAACTAGACAGTGACAAATTGAAGGAAAAACCTGAAAAATGAGTGGAGAAACACAATGACAACGACTCCATCCACGGGGCACAAAGGTCACTGAATGGTTTTAATATGAAAATGATGTGAATCATATGCTATGACCTCCACAGTCACTGGATCTCAACTCAGTAGAACACCTATGGGAGATTTTTTGAGATATTAGACAGCCTCTCCACCACCACCATCATCAAAACACCAAATGAGGAAATATCTTATGGAAGAATGGTGTTCACCCCTCCCCCTTGGAGAATCAATGATTGAACTAGGTGCACTGAAGCTGTTCTGGCAGCCTGTGGTGGCCCAAACATCCTACTAAGACACGTCTCCCTTTAATTTGCCACCTCTCTGTAAATACACATGGAAGTAGGAGATGTGCGTGGACTGAATCACAGCCAGTTGTCAGTGTGTTCTGGTACCTGAGCTGCTCCTCAGATGTGGTTCTGCGGTAATGTTTAGGGTAAAATCTTTCCAGAACCTGTTTCAGGGTTTGGTTAGACTTGGTCTGGGCTGACCCAGGAGCAGAGAAGGGACGCTCAAAATCCCCATACTCCACCTGAACACAAACAACAAGGTGGGAGTTTAATACTCTGTTCTTAAAGTAGGGTCTGGTTTATCCATCAACAATATGTAAAATATTTTTTTCTTACAACAGTGAGTAAATAATTGCATTCAAAATGACACTGTGGTGTTGAAGTGAAACTACCCTCTTAACTGTAGTTGCATCATACAACCTGCAGCTTCATCCATTAACACCCATGACATACAATACTTAATTTACTTAATAAACACAAATGTAAAAAGTAACTTAAAAAAAACAAAAAACAAATGAATTAACTTCCAGACCTGGGCAAGCAGGGCGGCCATTTCCAGAGCCAGTTCCTTGTTGACAGGAAAGTGTCCCGCGACAATGGCTTCATTGGTCTGATATGCCAGCAGCATCCTCTCCCTCTCTGACTCCCCCCTGACCTGGAGAGAGAAGTACAGCCTGGGAAAGGAAAGGAAAAGATAGAGATGATAAGAAAAAACCAGGAACAAAGAGAAGGAGAAAGTAGTTGGGAAAAATAGTAATGGATGGATTGAACATTATTAAACTTTCAGGGTTTGTTGTGTTGTATTTCCACTGGACTCTACTGCAGTGGAAACATATTAGTACTGAATTGGGATGAATTACAATAAAATAAGTGACGAATGAAATACATCGCACTGTATTCCTGTGAAGTGAACCATTTTCAAAACTCCCAGATATTTACTGAAACATTTGTTTTAAGGTTTTGACAGTCTCTCTGTAAGATGATGAGCATTAACCAAACTCTGTTTTTTTATGCAAAGAACATTCATTCATTCCTTCACAGTTTGCCTCTTTCCCCCTGTGAGACTCAGTACTGGTGACAGCCTGAACCATGCTCACTAATCTCCTGTCTGCTATACTGTGTAACTAATATGTGAAATGTTTTGACACTATAAAATCATGTCCTGGTTACATATTAAAAATAATACCTGGTTGTCATGATCTGACCCCATGTGACTCTCTGGACTCCCCCTTTCTTGTTTTATTTTGAAATATCTAACCTACTGAATTTCTGGTTATTTCAGAGAGCGCTAGAGAGCGCTCATGCACATGATGATTTTACAGTGGGACAGCCCTCATGGACTTGGTGGGAATGTGCCTCAAAGTGAGGGTTACCCACCGGAATGACTGTACTTTCATTTCCCTCATTAAAGAGTTACTTCACTCATCCAGCTTGCCTCCATATGTGTCTGCATTTGGGTCTAGAGATCACTGAACTATAACAATGGTGTTGGCATACATTCATGTAAATCTATTTTGCTTTGCAGCCACTGGGCACCTCGGGTTCCTCTCTACCTGTTCTTGTAGGTGAGACGTACAGTCCTGGTGTTTTCAGACTTGCCAGTGTGCTGCTCCTTACAGGCCTGCTCCCATTTGGAGATGATGTCACAAATCTGTACAAGATGTGAAGACAACAGATTTGTGATGAGTGTTAGGACAGAAATGAACACTCCCTACCTTCAAGAAGTAATCATCACATGAATTAAAGATGCACACCTTGATGCCTCCTTGCAGACAGTGTTCCAGCTCTCGTCCAGTAGGATCATCGGTGTACAAGCTGAAACCAGAAAGCCCAGTTTTTCTCATGCCGGTGTCCTGGTTGAGGCGACACTGGAAGTCATCCACTGTGGTTGAAGCATCAAAACTCACCACCTGTGGAAAGGGAATTAAATGCAGAGGACAAACATTAAAGTAATGACAATGAAGCTCCATCTTGGTTTTGAAAAGCTTTGATATTCAGACTGCTTCACTCTAAATGTATAAGAACGGTTGTGCTTCAGTCAAAATCAGTTTGCTGACACACTGATGGCTCATTTACAGCCAACGGCAAAAGTTGTCCAAAACCAGTATATCACATAGCACATACATGCGGAGACTGTGAGAAGGTAGACCATAATGGTAATCTTGTGAGTAAATACAATTTCATCAAGTAAATTTTTCCCTTATCTTTCTGTAGATGGCAGGTGTAAAACATTAAACTAGCCACTGACTGACCAGAGTAGACTCACAGAGAGGGCATTACTGGTGACTCCTAAGTGACTAAGGTTTGTCCAAAAAGTTGCTAGATTTGTTGCTCCAAACTGTCATTATTATCATTATTGGAATTAATCAATAGTGGATCTTGTCAATACAAATTTTAAACCATAGAGTCAACCTGTAACAACATGTCTGAAAACTGATTATTCTTCATAGTTATTCTTTTTCTTTCTTCTCACTGAAACACATGAAAACAGTGAAATGAAAACAGATACATGCAGCAATATTTTCTAGTTTAGCCAGGCAAGGCATGAACCAGGTTTCTGTATCCCTGTGTGTTCAGAGCTGCCACTAGGTAGGTGCCTCGGCTATGATCTCATAGCAGGAAGTGACAAAAACAAACACCCACTCAGGAGAAACTGAAGTGTACAGGTAGATGGTGGGGTGGAGCAGTGAGGCAGCAGAGTGAGCACGCGCATTTAAACAGACAGACTCTTTCCAGTGGACTGTTGGATATGATGTGACAGTGTATCAGCAAGATTCAAACTGTTAGCATGAACCTTTTCATACCTCACTCTGTTATGGCCATTATCTGCCGTCCTGCGTGATGTGTTATCGTTACCTGGTAGGTGTTGTTGAGGAAGTGAACAGGGACGCTGAATGGCAGCGAGTGATGATAGGGATTCCTCAGCAGGATAGACAGGATCTCCATACGGGATGGCCTGGCCTGCCTCTCACCCTTCTGCTGGGTCCGCTCCATGGACCGCTGGCAGTAGATGGCATACTTACCCACCTCAGTCCTGAGGACAACAGGAATACAGTGATATAGTACATAAGTCACATGTGAACACATTAGATTTAGAAATCAACTCATGAAATGAAAAATGTTTATTTATTATCAACTGTTATTATTATTATTATTATTATTATCAACAATGAGCTAATGGACACATGAATTTCCCCTAGGGGATAAATAAAGTATCTATCATCTATCTATGAAAATGAATGTGAACAGTTTTCCTGTGTTCACTAAATTATCATGTTACATCAAGTTAGGGACCACCACATACATATTTTTATGCTAATATATGTTTGGAGATTAATGTTAATTTATACAGTATTTGCTTCAAAGACTCTTAAGTGATTTAATAATGCACTTCCATAAGGAGACAGATTTTAAAAGATAGTTGAATTGAAGCAGCAGAAGCAAAGCTATCCTAAATCTTCCCTGTTCCTCTGTCCCTAGTATCAGTCAATCTGCAAAAACTATGTCTCCCACAATGCAACTCAAAAAGCATCTTTAGTCAGGCCTGTCCTGGCTGGTAAATAAACACATCTTTCAACCTCCACACCTTCAGTTTGGTGTTTTCACCACTTATTTCACACACATTTAAATCACAACTGTGTTCTTTGTCTCAGTACATAATTAACTATACTCCACAAAAACTAAGCTTAGTATAATTTAGTATAATGACTTTTTTTCTTAAAAGTAAGAAAATCCCTGTTTTCAGTATTTTAACATATACCAAAACTGACAAAAGCAGATTACTACACCTCTGTTCACTGGATCATGTCGGATTTATGATAATGATAGAAAATAAATGGAACTGTTCTGGCTGATTTGACTTTTTTTTCATAAAAATAACTCCTGGAGACCCGAGACCTGGAGTTACAGTATTCGTCCTATGGTCCATTTGCTTTGTTTGATTTTGCGCCTTGTTTTCTTTATGCCAGCATTCTAGCTGGGAGTGTTTCTTGTCACCTGGAGTCTCCGTGTCTTTTGAGGTGAGCCTGGAGCAGCCAGAGGAAAGGATGCTGAGGCAGAAACAGTCCAACACACAAGGCCAGAAACTGCCAGCCCTGAAGAATGACAAACAAACACTGTTACCTAACATGTTCTTTACAAACTCACATATGAGACAGAGAATCTGTAGCACTAGTGCAGCATGAGAGAGATGGACTGAAAACTGCAGCTACTCCTTGTTGCAAAATGTCTTACAATGAAACAGTTTGTCACAGTTGTAGCCAGTTTTGATCATGTTAATCTGAGTTCATTCAAGCACAGTATCACAAAGTAGCTACTGGATTGTGACTCATTCATGTCACTGGACTGTGACTCATCCTGTTGTCCATTGGTTGTCTAAGACATAATCACACTTTGTTCCTTTATATTTTTTTTAAACAAGACAGTGTTGAATGCTCAACTTCAACTGCTGCCCTCTGTTGGTGATGTGACTGCAGGAGTTCATGGTGTCTGGTTATTGTGTATGGAAGATCACATGACTACTTGGTGGACAGAGTTTCCGGTGTAGAGTTGAGAACTGTTGAGGGCTTGGTGTTTGTGTATAAAAAACTGTTTTTGTAACCATGCCAACAAAAGAGAGGCAAAGATTTCCAAAGAGCAGTTTTGAAGTAGCAGCTATGAGCAGCCACATAGATCAAAATGTTTTAAAAAGAAAGAAATTAAAGATTTTATCCAGGTTTTATCCAAGATATCAGTGCCTGCAGTGAACCCTGATGATTCAACACTTTTTTTCCCACCCAGTGTTTCCAATAAAAAAAAAAAAGAGCTACTGCTGACACCGTGTGGTGAGAGTGCAAACCTGCAGGGGTCCTGGATGACCGTGTGGCTGCCTCCTGCGGGTCTGCTTGATGAGCTGGCAAAAGAACTCGTTCTGAAGCTCCGGGTGGGTCAGACACACCTGCAAGGCACTCTGGGCCAGCGATACATGGTAGTCGATAGCCGGGGCGTCGATGGCCACATTGATGAAAAGCTGACAAGTCTGAGGAGAGATGATGCATTGAGACAGACACAGGAGGAGAGATAATCTGTTTAAGATTAGAGCTACAGGAAACTGTAAGTTATAACATTATTACAATAATAACACGCGATTATCTGCCCACGATGAGGTTTCTGCATAAAACTTAATTTCAATATCAATGTATCGATGTATGTATTTTAGTGTTTACCTTGAAGAGTTTCACAGCTTCTGTCTGCAAGGCCTGTGAGGGCAGCGTGGTGAGAGGAGATGACAAAGCCTCTTTACTGAAACACAGCATGGGATGTCTCCAGATCTGAGAGTCTGGAAGACAGAGACACAGACAAGCAGTGAGAAGAACGTGTCACATGAGTGAATATAAAAACCAATGTGCCTCACACAAGAGGAAAAATAAACACACAGAAAAAGACACATTATATGCAAAAAGAACAAATGACTGGACAAATGAAAAGACTACAAGACAAAATGATTAGTAAAAGATGCAATAAGTTGTAGAAGATACATGTACACTATCAAAAAAGTCTTTTTTTGCATCTTAAATGTAAAAAAAAAAAAATTACAGCAGTAACTGTAACTTCATGATGATGTTGACAGTCAGTTGACATCATCAATCTTCCATCTCATTATTTTCACAGAAATCTGAGTTAAGGCTGTAATTACAGGAGGCAATGGGAAATTCTTCTTTCACTTTTTATTCAATCAGACGACTCAACCATGAAGGAGCGTGTTGTTTAATTGTTCACACAGTTCGTTGTGCGTAAATACACAAATAATTTGAGTTTTTCTTTTTAAACTACAAGGACTTAGTTCATACCATGTGGTTATATGGGGCAAAGCAAATCACAATAAAATGAATTGTGTGAAATTATAAAGCAGGACAGAAACTGCAGTGAATATAATTTGTAATTGAAATACTCACTTGGATCTCCATCCAGCTGGAAAAGTTTTCCCACCAGTTGTTCGAACTCGGTGCCAACTTTACCCACCGTGGTGCCTGCTGCCACAGACAGATGGTACAGCCACGAATCCTGTGGCGGCGCAGCGACAGGTTTGGACATGTTTACAGAAGAGAACACAATTAGACTTTACAATCAAGTCACAACCAAAGTTAGTAATCAGTTAAATATAAATGAACCATTCCTTTTGCTCCTCTCTGTTACTATGACATGCAGCAACACAACACAGATTCACCCTCTATCCAATCTATTACAGCTTTTATATTCTTGAGAGCTTTTACATGTTATGTATGTGAGGTATGTGCTTCTTTTCTGACTTGTCTATATCTATGTAAGTGGAAAGAAGAGCACTAGCATGGCACAGTGAAGACCAGTGTGGCTGCAGCAAAGAAAAGAGCACCAAAAAAAAAAGTCAGTAGAAGATTTAAGAAAAAAACATCACTGTTAATACATATAAATAATCTCTCAGTATTGAAGGTTATTATGTGTGCTGTTTTTACATTCTGCTGTTCTCCATTACTGCTTCACTTGGCCAGTTTAGATGGTGATAAATAAAAAAGCAAAGACGGTGTTGTGAGAGTGCTGCTGTGATGATGTTAACCTCTGACCTTTTCATGGCGGGATTCGATTAGCAGGTAGGTCGGTCCTTGCTCCTGTGGGTGGACAGCGATGGTGAAGGATGCTGCCTGTAAGCCCCGCCCACACGCCTTCAGGTCATCATCTGAATCCCGGGACCTGTCCACCTCCTCCACCTTGGCCTCCCACAGCTTAATCTGCCCCAGCGGGAACTGGAAACACACACGTAAACACACATAAACTCACATTCTGCACCAATGAAATTAAGTTTTTTTTTCTATTCAGCCCTTTAAAACAGGATTTTCCATTATATTTCAAAAACAAAAAAAAAAAAAAAAAAAAAATGCAGTGAAAATGTCTTATTAATTAATTAATTCAAACTGATTGTGGGGTTGACGAAGCACGGAACAGTGCATCACCTCTGGTAAAGACAGCAATGAAATTTTCACCTTAACAGGAGCGTTACAGTTTTGTCTGTACATCCTGTAAATCTTTAAGATTAAGAAATCTTTTCAGTGATGATTTGATGAATCTCACCTTGTCCTCCTGGCTTCTGAAGTAGTACAGCGTTTTGCCGATCAGAGCACACCAAACCCGCTTAGAGTAGCCGTGCTTCACCTGCAACAGAGCAAGTACAAAGTTCAGAACCTTCAGTGACAATACAGTGGGAGATATGAGCTGTTAAATATACATATATATATATATATATATATATATATAGACATAAGCATTAATACTACAGTGTTATTAAAATCAGTATTAAAAAGAGTATGAGGCCGTATTGGTAAGTTGTTGGACCTTTATGAGCAGCCCCTTCATGCCAGGGCGAATGTCTGGCTGGGTGAAGAGAGGACTGGCAGCTTTCACCCTCAGCACGCTCAGCAGCACCCTGAGCCACTCCTCCAGCAGGTTGGGGGAATCAGCTTTCAGGTAGTACACACGCTTCCCCGTCACTATCTACACACAACAAGAAAAACACAGGTGTGGGTGAAGAAATCACCTGACAGTGTATAAATGCTGAAAGATTTAACATGTCTCATTTAATTGTGCTTCTGTGTTTCTACTTGGTGGAGATCATTTGATCAGAGCTGACACGTTAAATGATGGCGGACCTAGTTTTGGAACAAAGACTAGAGATGAGATGAGATGAATACCTGGAGAACTTGTTTTCCCTCTCCACGGGCGATGCTGCTGGTGGCGTTGACCTCGATCTGACCCTGAGGTTTCCTGATCACATCGCTCTGTGGGAGAATGATGAGAGACATGACAAAACAGCAACAGAGCTGAATGATTACATATGGTCTATCCATCCAATAATTGGTTAATAACATTAATATAAGATTTGACAATAAGTACCTCATGGAACATATAAAAGGCAAAAATATATTGAAGGTGCCTATAAATTTAGATTTATACACTTACTTTACTTAACTGGAGCACAGCAAAATTATACAAAATAAAAAAGTACTTAAGTCCTATAATAAAGCAAGAAAATGAAAAGAGTGATGAGTGAAACCCACAGGTGACTTGTAATAGAGCAGCTCTCCGTCCTTGAGGACGAACCAGCGTCTCTTCCAGGTTTTCTTCCAGGTCTTCACCATTTTCAGCAGGTAGCCCGACTTCTCCATCGGCTCCTGCAAGATTCAACACTGTACAGTTTTATGTTGCACTACTGTGTGTACAGTGCAGGAGGTAAAAGAGAACCTCGCAAAAATATGCCTGAGTTTATAGATTACTTAAAACCTTATTCCTCGTAATATTTGTGGATTATCAGTTCTGGAGAATTTAGATATAACTTAATGGGTTGTTATTATTTTAACGTTTGCAAACAAGTCGTACAAAGTCTTCAAATCACTTTAAGCAACATAAAATACACTATAATACATTATTAAAACAGCTTTGACAGTGTTGAATCCAGCAGAACTCGTGCTGTGTTTCTGCCTCTAGTCACACTGAAATTTACACATAAAAACAGCTCTGCACTGTTATCACTTAACAATGTGGAGCACAGGTGCTAATAACTGGATGATTTCGTTGTGTGTGTCACATGTGAAGTGACCAATGGGCCTGGATGTATCGCTGAGACACAGACTGACTCACACTCTTGCCGTTGTCGCTGGCTGAGGAGCAGGTCTTGGGCAGTTTCTGCTCTGGCTCGGAGCACTCTGTGTCGGTGGAGTAGGCATCAGGAGGGATGGCGTAGTCGCTCTCTGATGTCATCGAAGACATCGACACAGCTGGAGGAGATGCAGAGCGGTCGGGTGGGTGAGAGTTCAACATACAGTCTGTTCATTCACAGCTATAAACCATAATCGTTTAGTGTTTCTTTAATGAAAAAAAGTAATTTCATAGTAAAGGTTAACATACAAATAAATAGCACAGAAGAACAATAAGTTACAGGGGAGGAGAACATCATTAAGTGAAGTTTATTAGGAGCATTGCACAATCGCTGGTGGCTGTCACAGACACGGTGGATTTGTATTGGAAATCTGAAGCAGCTTCTGTTCTCAGAGAGAGTTTTCCCTTCAGTCTAAAAAACCTTCAGGCACAGTATACGTGGGTGTGTTGTACCTCTCTTGAGAGAGCGCGGGCTGCCGGGGCTGCTGTCTTTGCGGGAGCTGGATGAGGTGTGGGAGCTGCAGAAGGAGCCGTCTTCCTCTCCTGAGCTGGACGACTCCTCGGAGCTGGACGACTCGTCTGAGAATGGACTGCTGCTCAGTAGAGTGGCTTTCTGCAAAACACAAGACAAAAAGTTGAGGTCGACACACTAGTGAACGCACACAAAGACACTGCGACAGTTACAAATACATGCACATGAACATGAACGACAGATATTTGCACCTGCTTTAAGTAATACTGCCAGCTGGGGTCAGGAAGATGCAGAGAACAACTGAAGGTTTCAAAAGCACAGAGACACTGAACATTTACAAGATACAGTCAGAATGGTAACATCTGCTGGCTAATCCTTGGTATTGCATTTGTATGGAAGTCAGTGAGTCTTGCATTTAACAGCAGAGTATCTCTTACTACATACTGACAGAACAGATATAAGAGGTCTATATTAAAATCAACCTTGTTTACAACCTTACAACCCTTGTTTTAACCTTTGGTTGTTTGTGTCTACCAAGTAGTCCAATTGCAGTTTACGTACATGTCTGTCCAGACTATAATATGTATAGTGCAGACTTTAAAGGAAATTCATAAAAAGTATTAAATATCTTTTTTGGCAAAATGAAACTTATCACTATTATTGGGAGAATATTCTTTATTTAATGTTAACCATTGTGTGTCTTCATTTTGCTGTGGCCACTTGAGCCAGGTCATAACACACAATGTGAATGTTTCACACACACGTCTTCCAGCCAGCAGCACAGATGATCACCACATTTCCAAGGTGGGCACCCAAGATGAGTGTCACCAGTTCACTATCCGTCCAAATGTGAAATATGGTCACAATCTCCCCTTCTGTTCCTGAGATCTTGTTTTGGCATGATGTTTTGCGGAACATTATGTTGTCTCTGTGAGGTTGACATTTGACCTTTTGGATTTAAAATGGCATCAGTTCATTTTATCCTATTGATGTGAAATTTTGTCATAACTAGCGTCTTGTGTTTTGTGCAGTCGCCGTGACTTTGAACTTTGACCTTTGACTCGACCATCAAAATATAATCAGTTCATCATCTAGTCCAAGTCCGAGTTGAACGTTTGTATCAAATATGAAGAAATTTACTGAGGTGTACTGAGACATCGTGTTTGTGTGCTTGGAAGGTACAGATGTTGCAGATGCAGAAAAATGGTCAGATATTAAATTACGCAGCATGGAACTGTAGAGGAGAGCAAAATGAATCAAGCTGTAAATCTCTCTCTCTTACTTACCCCCTTCAGAGTAGTGTAAACTGGTGTAGTCATGTTTTTATAGATGAGGGATGTGTACATTACAAAGGCAGGATAGGAGGACTGGAGGGAAGGGTCTGCAACACAGATCACAGGTGAGTTAACCAGGGAAACATCTCTGTACCTGAACAAGCAGCTCAGCCTCTCTTTTTTTTTTCATTGTCTTGTCTTACCTTTGCTGGCAGGGTCGGTACAGGAGGTCTCAGACAGTCTGATTCCGGATTTAGCCACAGCATAGATACGACTCTCCTGTGGAGGAAACAACTGTCAATACAGAGCGTGTACATTTCTACTGTTACGGAAATAATTTTTTTGTGAGCAAATGTCCAACAATACTTGCCCAACAGCTGGCAATCAATTTGTAATGAAAAGGCAAAAAAGAAATTATATAGTAATTCATTTGTAGAGGAAAACATGCTGCTATGAATTATACTAGCTTAGGTTCAAATCTTCAAAATTAAATTCTCAGTCTTGTTAAGGACACATTTCTGCAAGATACAAAACATTGACTTTTGATACTAGGAATAAAGGATAAAGCTACTCCATACCTTTCTGTCAACAATTCCACTGAAAGCACATCAATCACAAATATATATATACTTTCATTTTCAATATAAGTTAAACCGTTCTCTTAAACAGCTGGCCAGAGTAGTTATAACCAAACTTTACTCAAATGGAAGTAAATTTGTGTGTTTTCTGGAGACTACTTAGTCGTTGATTTGGTGAGCCAACCAGTATAAACACTTTGACTTTCTTACCCAGGACGGCAGCCTGTGTAAAGGTGGAGTAGGAGGTTTGCTGCCAGGTGCGGAGATGTCACAGTCGCGCCTCTCTGGGTTCATCTCTGTACCAGGTTCATGTGAGGCCTGCAAGGAAGGCATGGTGGGCATAGCTTGTGAGCTGGGAGGGGCTTGAGGAGGTGTGTCCCTGCCGGTCTCCATGCCAACCTCCTGCTCCTGGTCGAGGTCAGTTTCCTGCGGCTGGAAGGGGCGCAGCATGCTGAGGGCGTTACGCGTCTGTCCGTGTGCCGCCTCTGTGCTGATTGGTGGCTGGCTCAGGTGTTTCTTGGCCAGAGACACATTCATCAAGCCGAACCCTGCCGGGGTCCGCAGGCGCGGCTGTTTGGGTGAGGCGGGGTTGTCCCTCGGGTCCTGGGGTGGGTTGGGTCGTTTAGGAGTGAGGGCTGGTGTGAGGATGGGACTGGGAGTGTTAGGTTCGCTGGAAGAGGACGAGGAGTCAAGTCTTTGTGACTGGAATCGTTTGTTGAGCTCTTCAGAGGTGCATTCCTCCAGCTTGGCCCTGTGCGCCTCCTCCTCCCCCTCCTTACACCCTCCCAGGGTCCCATCTGATGGTCCCAGCAGGCTGAAGCGGGGCCGCTCCGCTCGCTGCATGTCATCGTCAAACAGAGAGCTGCTGTCGTCTGAAGCCGTCAGGTAGGTCTCACTGCCCGGCCGGCTGAACTCCAGACCACCTCCTCCTCTGCCTTCACACCCTCCTCCTCCTCCTCCTCCTCCTTGCCCCTCTGAGGGAGAAGAGGAGCCCCCCCGAGACTCAGGTCCACATGCATTATCACCCGGGCCTTCAGCTGTACTGCCATTCTCCACAGGGGAACACAGAAGTCCAGTTTGGTCTGGTCTGTGGACTTCACCGTCTTTCTCTGAGGAGGCTGTCTGCTTATTCTTCCCTGTCAAGGCAAACATGAAAGTACATAACCAATATGTATTAATACTCTCTATTTCATTGTGAGGGTGAATTTGCTCTGCAAACTTCTCAAATTCAAGCCACTGAAAGACATTAAAAGTTTAAATTAATATTTTTTTTACTTTATTCAAACAAAAAAGACTAAATTAAATTAAATCTTTTCTCCATCTTTTCACCATTACAAAAAATGTGGTAGAAGCTTTATTTTGGTTTTGTCAGTGTTGGTCAGCCTTGATTTTTTATTTTTCTTTAAACTTTAAGTCTTGTTTCACAACCACACTCTGGCTCTGGCACATGAAGTCAGCAACTGTTTGCTTTTCTAAGTGAGATACAGCAAGTGGCAAAATAGTTTCGTTGTGAAAATCTTTCCCTAAGATGCCACGGACATGACCTAATGGCAAAAAAGGTTCCTCTTCTGAGTCACTTCCCATTTTCCACTATGAAACCGCGTCTTCCTGTGTCCAGCTCTTTCCCAGTGTCTGATTTCACCCAGAAATATGCTGAATCACAGAAGCTGTTTCCAAATCCACAGCTGTGACTCTGTGGGAACTCTTACCAGTTTCATCTCTGCCCTCAGTATCTCCCTGGGGGCTGAGCGTCCTCTGGGAGGGTGCTGGTCCGGTGAGGACCTGGGGGTTCTTCCCTCTCACCTGGAAACAGCCGAACGTCAGGCTGCTGAGCCGATGGGCCTCACCCGGTCTGCACAGGACTCGTCCACCGACACACTTCTCCTCGAAGGCTGCAAACACACAGACATGTCTGAACAGTAGTATGTATGTGGTTTGTTTATTCATGTATGCATTTTTACCAACTAGCATTTACATCAGCTTTGTCATGGAATTTTTTTATATGTGATATAAAAAGTTCTTACCCTGCACTTGTTTCTGTAGCTCCAGAATCTGAGCCTCCTGTTGCTTGTTGGTTTCTCTCAATGCTGCGTTCTCTACCTCGAACTGAACGATAAACATGTTTTCACGTTCAACAGCTACTTATTCCAGAAATTAATGACCTATTAATTACGCTAACCCATCATCCAGCTTCCATCTTGTCTCTTTCCCATCCACACAAACTGTTTTCTATTAACATAAAGTCTCTACCTCTGACAACTTCAGCATCACCCACTCCTTGATCTTCGCTGCTTTCTCCTCCACTGTTTTGGCATCTTGAAGTCGGATCTGTTTCTGGTGAAAGAGGACAAGTTTGGACGTACAAACATCAGCTGTGTTTCTCTGTTTCAACGCAAGTGGCCACAAAAGCAGATAGAGAGACAGTGAAGATGGAAGTGAGTGTATTTCATGGAAATGGAATGTCACAGCCGAGAGGAGGGTGGGGAATCCCAAAGTGACCCTGAAAGCGAGGTTAAAAACACCAGGAGAAGGTGGATTCACAAGGAGCTCAGTGGTAGAATTATCAATATTAGCTGAGATGAGCTCACAAAAGTAGTTTGCTCCTTTTGCATCTTCAAGTGTTATAAATATTTCATATGTCCATAGTGGACCAAGAGCTTGGTGCTGTTGCAGTTCAGGTTCACTGTCTTTTCTATGTTGGGCTGTATTGAGGTTTGATCATCTAAAAGTACTATCCACATTCCCAGAGCATGACCGCTGCTTTTCAGTCAGGTGTGCAGCTATAAAAAAAAAAAAATTTATAAGCCAAAATTAAATGGGAGTTTTTGCTGTTTATGTTCCTCCACCATCTTTTACACCTAAAAAAAAACAAAAAAAACATGCACTCGCGCTCCATTGATCGCTTTGATGAAAATCTTGGTGTGTATGTGTCTTACCTGCTCCTCAAGCTGCTGCTCCAGCTGGGCGATGACGTCCTCCTTCTCCTGCACCAGGGCCTGCAGCTCCTGGCACCGCTGAAACAAACGCACCTCCGAGTCTCCCGACTGACCGTCTGGAGCCTTCAGCTTCTCCTCCATCCACTGAACCTTTAATCATCAAACATACAAACATGGGGCACATGGTCCTCACACACTGAGCACAGGTAAACAGCCGTTTGCTGCCACTCTTACCTGCTGATGAGCAGTGAAGGCCCGTTTCTCTGCATCGATCACCTGCGTCTCCAGTTGTTGAATCTAGGAAAGGAAGAATATACGTTTTCATATTTCTTGTGAACACTTTTTGTTTTATCCTCCAAATATTTTACTATTCTCGTTACTTAACGACACATATTATATACACACATCGCTCACTACACACTCTCTACAAAAATAAAGGAGACCTTTTATTCCCTCCAGTGCTTCTGACCACAATGTTTGCGTACACACGGAGGTGAAATATCAAGTCTATTTCTGACCTGAAGCCAAATACAACAACACCAAATAAAGACAAAGAAAGAGCTGCACGCTAGAGACGTAATGAGAACTCCAGTCAAGATAACACTGCTATGCTGGAAAAGAGCAGATGCTTTTCAGCTGGTCTTTGACATTCTTTATTTTATGTGACTAAAAGGAATGTTTACAGTCAGAATTGGGGTATTGAAAGTTCACAGATGCATCTTACATCTACATTTATAGTTTAGGCATTTTTATCAGTTTTTCCTTGTATAAAATCCCTATATAGCACAATCTACTAATATCTTCTATAGCCTCACAATGGTATGGATAGCCAGAAATCATGCTCGAGTGATGTTTGTGTTTAAATATAAATGAACTATTCTCAGCTATTTGTGCTATAAGATCAGATCAATAAAAAAATAACTACAATGCATAATAATATAACTATAAAATGCAATAACTTTAACACTAGCTGTAACACTCAGTGTCCAGTTCTTCTTGGTAATGGATTCATTTATTTACAACATCTATACTTGTGCGTCAGAATTGATGAGGCAGTTTTATTTGTGCAGACATAACACCTTCACCCAGTTACATAATGATGATGAGGTGTCACATCCATAAAGGTACAACCAGCTCTTTGTGCACCGAGATCAGAGCGCGGCATGTGGAAGCTGGTGGGAGTGTGTCAGAACTGCGGCAACACCAAAAGGTCACACAGCCACGGCGCGCAGGCTACAGCACACACACAGTCACACACATATACAGGGTTACGTAGACAGAAACTTGCACTCATACACAAGACAGACACATAGACAAGGATTGAAAGAACAAAAAAAAAAAAAAAAAAAAAAAAAACAACCTGTGGGAATCGAGGAGAGAGATGACTTTATGAGCAACATTCCTCTGAAATTCCTCGGCTCAAAGTGGCGGAAGCAGCAGAGGAACCAGTATCTTCTCCTAAACCTCGGTGGCTTTGTGGAGGAAAATATGCAGGAATGTCGATGGAAAGTCTCAGTGAAGCAGGTCTACGGCCACCATGGTTAGAATACTTTGCTACAGTACAAATTAGACTAAATTAGAGGAAACTTTCAACAATCCCTGTGGGGAAACTGGCCGACACACCAGACAATCGGATGTAGCTTAGAGCAGGACAGAGTGCTGAAGATAATCAAGGGGGTGAGTTATTGTAGAGCAAATATATGTATGTACGGCCGGCAACCCTTCACTGTCTTTAGTGACAGGTTCATCCAGACAAGCAAACTATCACCATTCGTTCTCACAGCAAACATTTTGACTTGTGATACCTGTATCGATAACGAAAATATTAATGTAATGATTTCAAAAATATCATCCAGAGGCGGCTACCCCCTCGACGTCTGTGTGTTTCCAGTTCATGTCTGTCTCAGTCACCTGAGTCTGTACCTGTGCACAGCTACAGAGCCATTACACTGATTCTGCAGCGTTCACCGGGTTATATTTGAGACTTTTTTCACATGGAACGTAATCGAATAAATATTTCACAGTATGATTGAAAAACCATTAGGGACAATACGGTCTAGAATTATTTATTATTATATCACATTTTTTAGCACTTCACTGCAGTATATAACAATAATTCCTAATTAAATAGATTACTATATTAACACAACCTGGGTGTGAATAAGCAGGAAATGGATGGGTGGATTAACTGATTAAAAACCACTAGTTAATTTAAGTTCATTGCTTTCATTTGCTTTAATTGACACTCGTCCATCATGAGCTGATGAGCTGATGAGCTTCATAGCGACTGTAGCTGCAGTGTCAGTGTTTGCTACAGGTGTGATGGCGCCGACAAACTGCAGCCACTGCTGAAAAATCCTTTATATAGTTTATAGGTGTGTATTAGAGACACAAAAACATATCATGACTAACCTTACTGAAGAAAAAATGCAGACTTGTACATTCTTTAAAAACCTTCTGAGGTCTCTCCTTGAGGAAAATAAATTCACTGCTTTTGCATTTATTCTGAAAATTCTTTTGGTTCCATTCCTCCCTCCACCCAGATTCCTAGAGGCAGTTCAGTTTTCCTAGTATTGTGCGTACAATGTTTTAGAAGTGGAAAATGACTTACAACACACAATGTCATGTGCACTATGATGTTGCCAACTACTTGGTGTCCAGAGTAGTTCTGTTACACACTGTAGAAATCAACAAATTAGTTAAGGTAGATTCTGTTCTGGTTCTTGTCCAAACTATGTGTGAACTCCTGTGAGGAGTAAAAGAAGTGTATCTGGCCTTGATTTGGATGCGGCCGTTGGAGCCTGGCATGGCCGTGCTCCAGTTTTCCCCTGCGTATGTTAACTTCCAGAGACCAGAAGGAGTGGACCCAGCTCAGTCCAAAAGCAGCCACACCCTGCAGGAGACGCTCACTGTTTCCACTGCACAGCATTTTCTGGACCAAAGTGGGAGCGAGGCCTTTACTGCTCCACTTGTCATTGCAGTGTGATTTTGGGAGAATATGATTTATTGTGTCAGTGGAATCTGAGTACTTTCACATCTGGTTTTGAAGATACCGTGACGGAAATTCATCCTTTTGTGCTGATAAAAACTGAACTGAAGTGACAAATACAACAACAGCATCGATACACGGCTCTGCGTGAATCTATCTGAACCTTTCACTTTGAAAAAAAAGTTCAGTTAAGACTTGAGTACTGATCAAAAGCAGACATGAAAAAAGTTCATATTCCTCACAAACAAGCAAACACGCTCTCTCTCTCTCTCTCTCTCTCTCTCTCTCTCTCCTCTATATAGATCCTCTTCTGTACCACAAACCACATGCGCCTCTCTCAACAACAGATATAGCATCTGGCAGAGAACAGCTTGTTAATTACAGGGCATGTACTCTGTAGGCTGCATCTGGAGACGACACACACTCGGTCTCATACACACACACCAGACATAACAACATATAAAAAAAAAACGTAAACGCACGTCCACGATGTCTATGATGATGAGGATATTCTCCTGCGTATCAGACCGTGCGTGCAAGTGTGTGTCTGTTTTGCTCGTTGTGTATGTTATATATAGGGTGAGTCAGGTCTGTGTCGCATCCTGTGCAGCTCAGTTGAGATGACCAATGAGAGGTTAAGGTTTATGTTGTGGTCATTTCAAGTTTTAGAGTTATATGGCTCATTACCTGCCCCCTACACTCACATACGACTACGCCTACTGCTTCACTGTCTTCGTCTGACACACACACACACACACCATCACACACACACACACACACACACACACACACACACACACACACACACACGTGACCTCTCTCCTCTCCCTCAGCCCCCATAACCTCCAAACAATGCTCCATCACCTCTGCACTCAATTCCCTCTTCAGATCCAGACTCCAGTTCAACTTCCATTCCTGGAATTCCACAACTGGCGCTCTGTGGCCAACCTCCCCCTGAACTCCATCCATCCCTCCCCCATCGCTCCATCCGCAGCCAGACAGCCAGCTCACAAAGCTTCTTTCTGTAGCCCCTGTGACCCGTAGTGTTCACCTACAATTACACAGGTTTAACACCAAGTAGATGAATCAAATATAGCTTTAGTTAGGACTGAGTCTCACACCAATGCCCTAAAAGTCTAGTTTAGACTTGTTAATTGTCGAGTATGTTTAACTGGGGACAAACTGAGGGATAAACGCACCTCAAAAACAAGACTCACGGGGCAAATTTACCAACACGTGGCTATACACATGAAAACATGGACATGAATGAAGAAAAGCAACATCTGTGTGAAGAGCAAGGAAAAGTCTGAGTAACTTAAGGTTAGCCGGAGGCGTCTATGTGGTGATGACTGAGCAGCTTGAGATGAAAATTGCAAGCGGATGTTTGTGAGTAGTGAGGAGGGCAGGCCTAAGTGTGTGTGTGTGTGTGTGCGTGTGTGTGTGTTGCTTTGTCATTTTCACATTTTGATCTTTCTCGCCTAACACAGTTTAGGTTCGATTCTTGACATCCAGGTGATGCACTTGATCCTGTTTTTGAACCTGTTGACTGTGACTGACACGTCTGATCTGACACATGACTGGTCCATATGGCCAGTAAGCCCCGCCCACCACATGGGAGGACGTTTTGTTTCTTTCTAAATGTGGGATCAATCAGAGTTGAACACCAGACCAGAGTATGTCCCCCAACCCCTTTCGGTTATGGTCTGCGTCTACAGTATGGATATATATGAGTGTGCATTGTGTGTGTCCTTAAGGGTGCAGCCTCCCACCTAAAGGACAGGTAGGGGTGATCTTCTATATGTTTCTTATTGTCATTATATTTCATGAAAAGGCCCAAAGGTCTGGTGTGTGTATCTTGTTTCTCTGTGGCGACGAGCTCCATGATCAATAAAAACACATCACTGAGCCACACTGTTGTACTGAGATGTTCCTTCATTATTATGAACTGTACTGTAATCTATTTGAAGTTATTCCCACATACATACAGTAGCTTTGCTGGTGCAAATTCTCACGACTGCACCAACTGTGTATTAATCTGTGGCTGAAAAGAGTCAGCAACAAATGCACAATTTACTCCTGTTTCAATAACATTTTCTAAAAAACTACAGGAAATGATTTAGCGTAAAAAAAAAAAAATTATACAATTTATTATGCAGATTATACAACTGCACATTGTTGATTTTGGTCTTCTCATGGGATTTGTTGACAGCAAGAAAACATGGAATAACACCAGATTTATCCTTTAAATGGTATTTATTCAACACTGTATTAATAAAAGCTCTGATATTCCGCCACTGTATTGGAAATAATTAAAGATGATGATAAAGGAAGGTGGTATGAAACACCTGGGATCTCTTCATTTATCATTTAATCAGATTCAAAGTGCTGATATCTTTTTTTAAAGGGATTAGATTCACAGTTGTTCTTATAGAGAAACACAGGCAGACGGATGGAATTAAATATGTCAGCGAGTGCACTAGGTCGGAAGCGGGGAGGCTGACAGAAACAGAAAATATAACACACACGGTCTCTTTGTCTCCACCGAGAGATGTGTAGCCTACTGTTACAGCTGGAGGCCTCGCTTGCCAAAACTAACGTCCCCTCCCAAATAACTGCACCCACACACCCACCCACCCACCTTCCCACCCTCACACACACACACACCACCATCACTTTTCACTTTCTGAAAGTTAAAGCTGCTTCTACATGAAATCGACTGGTCTTGTGTACATACGTATACACACACACACACAGAATAACTGACTGAGCGAGTACTTCAGATTGCAAACTCACTTCCTGTGCAACACACAAATGCTAACACACACAAATACTATTTACTGAACTGGGTATTTCCTCCCTTGGGCGGCTCTATACACAAGGCTTCATTTTTTTTCTCTTTTCCTTTTTCTTCCTCTCTCCATGCCGTCACACAGGCTTTCTAGGATTTCAGCAGTTTGCCAAGTTTACCTGGAGTCATGTAACTCATTTCAAGTTTACTCGATCCGACTGATTAATTGACATTTCAAAATAAATTCAATAACCAACAGATTTTAAAAGAAAACATAGAGTTTTTGATCTAGATGATGTTTAAAAAGGTGCTGTCACTACAAACAATATCCATCTTAACAAATCATTTGATCACATTTTATTAAATCTCATTTACAAATGTACGAATGTAATAAAAAGCAGTAGAGAAGTAGTAGTAATAGTACAGAATCTGCCACTGGTGTGACATAATTGTACTTGATTCTAATGCAAATCATCTGGTTTTAAAACAAAGTCTGCTGCTGGTGTCAGGTTAAAAATGACTCCACTCTCCATGGATCTATATTTTCCAACAAAACATTCCTTATGGCTCCTACAGAAAGTTATTTGTCGTAATAGGGGAAATACTTTCAAAGTAATGACATTTTTCATTTCAAATAACTTTCTCAAATAACACTGTAGGATCATGAGGAGTCTTGAACTTCACACTCATCTTATACACACTGAACTCCCTCTGTAAATCTGCAGCACAGTAATGCTGCAGCTCGGTCAATGAATGGACAGCAACCTGCTGGTTTTTCATCCTCAACAACCTCCACTCACAATAACTTCTCTTAATCATCCTTTTACACACACACACACACACACACACACACACACACACACACACACACAGTGAGATATTAGGGGGATTTTGCCGTGATGTACGTACGCCCCCGCACAGCTTTAAAACAACAAGCTCCGGCTGTGGGAGCCACAGCAGAGAAAAAACATCAGCAGGGGTCTGAATGTTAACATGATGAGCTCACGGCATCGGGAGGTCAGTGAGCACAGGGCGAGGGGTCATTCTACAACAAGCAAAAACATCATGTTTGCATGAATCCACAACATATATGTGATTTTGGACTTTTAAAAAAAAATCTGATATGACCATTCAGTTTCATTCACCTCTGATATGATGGATAGTAAATAGTGGTAGTAAGACTGATTATTGTAGTGGTCAATGGGATGCCTTAACATGAATTCATTCTGATGTGACACTTTGCAGATTTGTTTACTGTATTATTAATGGCGTGTCTCCTGGAGAACTGGAGGCTTTTTCATCCTACCCAAATAATATTCAACTGAATTCTTCTGATGATAAATACAAAAAGAGTATCAGCACATCATATCTGTAGTCCCTGTCTTCATTTAAAAAATATTTTTGTCACTACTGGTTCCCGAAATTCTGCTGAACTCTGGTTGAACCCTGGATCCTTGGGAACTAAATCAGTGATCTTCCAAATTTAGCACATACTACGGCGCACTGAGGAAATCACTACACCAGTAAATCAGGCTAAAGGCTACGAGGTGGTGACCCTACTTTAACAAAGCCATTTCAAAGTACCATGACACTTCTTGACATCTAAACTCAGCACAGAGACAGACAAGGCAGCTCAGCTCTAAACTAAGATTAAAGTTGAGGTGAATTATATAACATTATAGTTGTAGCATAGTTCTGTTTTTAGTGGTGTTTTGTTATGATGCTGAGGGGAAAATTGCTTTAAATGTAGTTGAATTCAACCTGTCAAAGAGGATGGATGAGGCCCAAAATATCTAGCAGAGACTTTCACATGTGCTATGATGGATGCAGAAACCCACCGAAATCTTTCTTCCAAGTCTCTCCAGGAGTTTGTTTTGCCATCCAGCTGAGCTTACTTTGACTCTGTAATTGACTGGAGCTGGGTCAATCCCATCATGCAGTGCGTGGCGGAGCCCTGTGGTCAGACTGCTGTTTACATTAGAGCTCTAATCAGCATCCCTGGAGAGCAGCTTCAGATCTAGGCCACTGAACAGTTTGGGCCAGCCCAGTGTCGGCCAGCTGGGAGGGACGGGCTGCTCTGTACCCACCAGACACACCACATCTCTCTGTCTGAATGTGGATGTCTTCCTGTGCTTATAAGGAACACATGTTAAATTTTCTTCTCAGATCTCATCCTATGAAACAATATGGCCAAAGTTTGATTTAGTGTAGGTGGCACTGCTCCCTTTGTCTCATCAGTCAAAGCTCAATGAATTAGTTTAGTGATTGGTTATCTGATGAGATGGGGTAGTAAAAGGAACGGCTGGTTGCTGTTTAAACTGCATTGTGATGCTGTGGGTTACTCAAACTACAGGACCAGCAGTGCATCCTATGTTGTTAAATGTCTTTATCATCCAAAAGACTTTCATTTTCTTCTTCTTATCTTATGTTCTGTTTCACGTGCATCTCGGCACCAAACATTTGTCCTGTACATCGACACAGACTCACTTTACCTGCCTTTTACAAACCAGATACAGATTTTATTCTCAGCATTTTTATGTTTTTTTTTTCCTCCTTTACATCTTTTCTGTTCTTATTTCTGTTCATAAACAAATCTTAATTGTTTGTTGGTGTCATTTCTTTCAGCACAGACTTGCAATAGATTCATAATCAGTAATTAAGCAGCAGTCATTAGGCCTGAGCCGTTTTTCTTTCAGGACAGTTGAGATGCTGATTTACGTCAAAAATGACTCTGGAGTGAGTGAGTGAGATTTCGTTTACAATCACGTCTCTTCCTCACATCTCGCATCCCTGCTGGGAGGACATAAGATGTGAGGAAGAGATGAAAGTCAGAGATGTCATTTTAGCTCATGGAAAGCACCCGTTCTGTATAAACACAAACTGCTGTACAGACCTCCCACCTGTACGGCAGCTTTACAATCCACTTTCCCACAAAATTCAAACTTGGCACCATATGAATCATTTTCTCACTTCTCGCACCATTCGAACACAGATTCTCAGTCATATGCACTGAGAATGAATTTCGTCATTAACTGATTAACAGAATGAAGTTTACTTGAACCAACTTTGTCAGCGGTGAGTTCTCGAATCTTGATTATCTGCACTCTGAACTTCATGAGCAGAGCCTCCAGGACCATACACTTCTCCTTCCAGTCCTCCTGGCTCATGGCCTCCTCCCCATCCGCCATACCGGCTGACCCTCTGTAACACACACACACACACACACACACACACACACACACACACACACACACACACACACACACACACACACACACACACACACACACACACACACGGCAGTCAGTGAGACAGAGAGACAGAGAGTAAATATATGTACATAATAATACAGCAATCTCCTAGAGGTTTCCTGTGGGAAAATTCACTTTTCATTTCCTCCTCCTGAAGGATCAAGGATCAGGGTCAGCTAAAGACAAACGTCCCTGAAGCTGGTTCGGATTCAAAGTCTTGCTTAAAGGCACCTCCGCAGTATGAATGACTGATTACTATTGCTATTCTAATCCCCGGTGCTGGTTGTCTGCACTGAAGCTCAGGGGAGGACTGATGCACACTTGTGTTGAGTGCAGAATTGATCAGTTCTTTAAATAACATGAAATGAATCAAATGTTTTCATATATTTGACACACACACACACACACACACACACACACACACACACACACACACACACACACACACAGAAAGAGGGATTGTTGTTGTATAGATGTATTGCCACCAGCCATCACCTGAAATATTCCAGGGTCGAGCCCAGCTGGACCAGTGTGAGCAGTGGGCGTATCACTAAGCTTGGCCAAACAGTAAAACATCACAGTTGCTCCAAAACACCTCAACACCCACCCTGGGACATACTTGCATCACGTTTTCCAGGGAAAACAGTCGGTAAACACAGAGAGGAGGAGTGAGCACGAGAGAGACAGAGAGCGATGAGGATCTCTGATGAAGGAGAGCAGCAGCAGCAGCAGCAGCAGCAGGAGGAGGAGGAGGATAGAAAGCCTGGCTTTCTCTTCTAAGTAATAACCTCTCATTACCAGCCTGGCCTCCTCACAAAGAGACTACAAACATGTGTAGAGGGAGGCAATAAACTGGTTTCCACAGGCTTATTTCTGTTGCTTGTTTGCTGTGGTAAACACTGACGAAGGCAAGAAAAAAAAGAAGCTCTCACCCAACAAAACATAACAGCGTAAATGACTATGGGAAGGAATTTAATATGACACATGTGGATAAAGCCTGCAAATACCAATAGAAAACTATGTCATAAGAATTATGGATTTTTTTTTTATATGATAGTTCTCATGTAGTATTACAGATATAGATATTAACAGATATATATACATAATATCTTATACCAGGGTTCTTTGTCAACCGACACTTTAAGGTGCTAATTTAAAGCTTTTTAAATATGCCTAATGAGGCCTATTTTAGTTTTACTATGACTTTTCTGTATAGCCACCCTTAAAGCTTTAGTTGAAAGAGTTTTATTGTTTAACTTAACATGATAATCTTATTATATACATCTTATTATTACATATAGAGCCTTTGTTATTGTTAATTTCTTAAAAGTATTTTTATTTATTATTATTTGCTGCAACAGTACCATAAGTTGATCTTTTGAGAAGTTAATTCACTCTTGTTTCCTTGTATGTATACAGTATGTTTTGTAGAATTTAATAAGATGCTATGAGAGTATTAGTCAAATCGGTGTAACAGGGGACAGATGCAGATTCTGCACACTCATCTGTTCCCTCTCCTCCAAGCGTCATTCCACAGTGGTGATAAAAGGATGTGGTTGGTGGAAAACATTAAAGGCCATTTAACGCCTGAACCCTGTCAGAGTTTCTTTGTCTCCCTTTCTCTCCCACTTCCTGTTGAGTAAAGTCAGTGTCAGTGTGCAGAGACAGTGAACCAGAATGTGATGCATGAGCACTTCTCTGTGTTTGGGTCTGGAGTGGTGCTGCAGCGGGCCATTAAAGAAATACAGACCCCATTACCCTCTGTTAATGTATTTAAAGTTTACAGTGTGTGAAGATAATCCACTTCTCCTTAATGAACTGTGAAGAAAAATGATAAAATGGAAGCAAAGTACACTAAACATTCAGGCCATGTGTATTTTAAGGTATAGTTAGTCTGTTAATTTTCTAAACAAAGAATTCCCCCAAAATCTTTTAGTATTCAGATGATCTTTAAGACTCAGTGTTCACAGGTATGAGAGCTTATTATTAAATTTAACCTCCATGTTGTATTTCCTGTGACTAATACATTCTTCAGACTGTTATATGTTGGACATGTTTTAGATAAACACTCATGAAGTCATGGAAATTATTTCACTAGTGGTGCTCCTATCAGAGGGCTGAATCATGGTGGTGAGTAAACTGAGGTGAAGTAGTTCATAATAAGCCCCTCTGAGGCAAAAAGTTTCATTATTTGTTTTGTGGTGCTTTGAATAAAATTTATAGATTCAACAGTACATCATGGGATATGTATTTAAGTTTACTGTGACATCACAAGAATAACTTGACCTTTAATCTACAATTTATAAATAAATAACATTAATATTTTGGTGTCTAACTTTCTAAACTTTAGTGCCACAGATATAAAACCAACTCTAAATTAAAACACCAGATAGCAAAAGACAAAAATAGTACCACTTTATTAGAAAACTGTAATCACATTCATGAGTTTTCTCCACAAAACCATCACTGTTATACCAACAGTGGCCAAGTGATAAAACTAGTATTCAGTTCTAAAAGGTTTAGTGTTAACTTTTCCCAAGAGAATGAAAAACACCGTTTAAATCTTTCTTACTTTAAAAAGAGACCATTAGCTACACCGTCACTTAGATACACAACTCTTCGTCGTTTCGTATTTAATTAAAAAACATCTATTTCCATCAAAGTTTCTCGACTTACCTGTGAAAATACTGATGTAGACCTTACGAGCGACTTCACGCCATGTCGACTCCAGCGTCTGTGTGTTTATTATTATTCCTGTGGAGGAAGTCCTAATTCATGAGTAAAAGCTGTGAATTGGTCTCTTTCCTAGAGGTTTTCATTTCAGCTCTCAGGCAAAAGTTGGAAACGGGTTGGATTTAGAGGGTGTGGCTTCGTGAAATACGTCCAATCATAGACTTTGTGAGCGTTTTTCTGCTTAGCGGAACCGTGAAGTCTGAGATTGATTGACATGTAATCTTCACCAATAAAAATCTGGAGCGCTATTTTATGGACAGATGAGTTTCTGAGGGCGGTCTCTAACTATTTGTCGGAAATGACGTTTCACGTGTGCAGCATGGAACATGGTTGTGTCAAGTGTCCGAGAACAATACAGGAAACTAGGAAAGTTTTATAAATAAAGTATGTTCAACCACGTTTTCTACCAAAAGATGTATTTCAATCTAACAACTCTAACACATGTCCATATAATTAATTTCCATATATGAAATATATGTACACATAAAATAAAAACATATTTTAAAAAAATATATGAAACTTATAATAAATGGGAACAATTTCAAATATTGACATATATGCCAAGCCCATACATATATTACATAGATATATATCCATCCCAAAGCCTATCAATATACATTGATATTATATACAGTGGGTTTGGTTCCAATATTCCGAAACCAGTTTCCCAGAATAGGAATCGGTTTAAAATTAATGAGAAATTAGTAAGAAAAACATGTATAAGCATATAGAATTTTTATCTGTATGTTGTCTTGATAAACTTGTATATATAAATTAGATATATTGTTTACATATATGCAAAATGTCATACCATATAAAAATTAATATAGATATTTTCAATATACAGTTTGTAAATGTAATTTACACTGGGTATTGTATACATGTTATAAACGTAAATCTTCATATATTTAGAGAATGTATATATGTGATAATAATGTATCCCCTAAGTATCCCTTCACAGGTGACTACAGCAACATCACTCTTGATATAACACATTTCTGTATGGGATATTTTATTCTGAAAAATTCTTCCGGAAAAGAAAGGTTTTTATCCTCGCGCTTGACGTTAGTTACAGTTACCAGCTGAAGCAGCAGGACTCCAAGTAAACCACATGCTCAACTGAGGTGAATGTTGATTATATTTAATTTAGCATCTTCATTAAGCTGTTCGGGTCTTTTTTGAGAATTCAGCTGTTGTATTGTTGCGGTGTTTAATGTGTCCGTCTCGCTTTTTAATTTGGGACGTAGAGTCGGTGCTAGATAGCTAGCCATAGTTGGCTAACACTAGTAGCAGCAGGACTTTTAGCCAAGGTAAAGCGAAATACCTTAGAAAGGGTGTACATAAAGTTGCTATGTGTGTATTTGTGTGTGTGAGAGAGGAGGGAGAGAGAGAGGAGCTGGGGGTGATGTGCAAAGAAAAACTGCTAATTTGTAAATACCAGGTGAGTAGTAATATCCAAAGGGACCATTAAAGATGTGAAGAGTCAGTGTTCTGCTCAGGTTTAAAAAGGTGTGAGACTCCACTTTGTATTCTTTATAACCAAGCCATATTTTAGATAGTTGGACATGCACTCAAAATGCTCATGCAGTCATGGAAATGATTTCACTGATGGTGCTATTTACACAGGGCAGAGTTATGGTGGTGAAGAAGAAGACAGCCAAAGTAGAGGCTGTGGCGTTGGACGAGGAGAAACTGCACAAGCTGATCGGTAATGAGGCCAAACTACTGATGAGCAAACTAGGGCAGTGGTAAATGAAACCATCCACTACATGTTACGTGTCATTGCATTTAATCTTGAGCAATGTGTGTGTCTTGGTCTTTCTTAGCGTCCCTCTCTGTGAATGGTGGAGAGGATGGAGTCAGACAGGTGGCCCAGACCCTGCAGTGCTGTTTGGAGTTGACAGAACCGGTGCAGCAGATCCAGCTGGTTAAAAAGGTTAATGACAAGAAGATTAATGTGTAACTTCTCAGTATTTAACAAACTTAATGTTTAGTGGATAGAGCAGAGTAGGCTACACAGTATATGACCAGTGTCTGTGTCCATACCGCATCAGGCAGGGTCCCAGTTGGAGGCGCTGAGTGAAGATCAGCAGGATGGTGCTCTTCTTGACGCCTGTCTACATACCCTGGCTCTGGTTTACACCTCCCTGCAGGCCAAGAACCCCCTACGACGAGCCATCGCCAGGTACACAGCTAAGTTCTAATGTTCATTTAATTTGAAACATATCTGTTCAAGTAAATAAGTTGTAGGCATTCAGCCCATCAGAGAACTTCTGTGGTCAATTGCTAGGGAGGCAACCACTGAGCATCACAGATTTTATTTTCTGCCTTCCAAAGGCAAGTGGGAAGAACTGGTCCTTCAGTCTTTTAAATCCTGGAACCTAAATCCTTGTCGAACAAACAAGACTCCAAATCAATGTAAACAGATACTAACCATAAAATCTACCACCAACATATCTGTCATTTCAGGAGAACACTTTGATTTCTCTTTACCACTATATCTTCAACTTAATCTGTCATTTTCTGTGTCTGATATAATGAGCTGCTTAAACTTAGAATATAGATCTTTACGAATAAGATTAAGAATATAATTTTTGGAGGTTTGGGTGGCAGTCTGTGAGTTTTGACCTTGTCAGTTCATTAAAAAACTTCTCATTTTCCTGTCTGCGTTTCCAGTATATTCTTTGGTTCTGCAATAAATATCGTGTCTGTGTCACTCCTTGTCCTCAGTGCCTTGGGTTCAGTACCAGCCTGGTTACAGGAGCGGACTGTAAACTGTTTGTGTGCATGCTTGTCTGACTGGCTGTCCAACACACAATCAGACAAATATCCACATATTGTAGACACCATCACTGCCTTTTTGGATGGCTTCCCTTTTGGTAAGTGGGATATTGCTCGTATTTGCATTTACTGCAGATTTGTTCTACTTTTGATCACTAGATATATCAGATAAATCGTATCTCCTTTTATTTAGTTAAATAAATAACCCCCTAACTAACTGCCTCTATCTCCAGGTGAGAGATGCATAAACAAACTGCTGCCTGAAGGTTAGTGTCTGTATGTCAGTAATGTCTGATTTTGAGAAAAGACTCAGTTTTCTTTTAGTCACATTCTCTCTCTTCTCCTCTGTGTAGTACTGCAGTTCCTTCACAAGGGACTGAGTGAATACCTTCATCAGAACAGGTATAGAGACATACTCCACAGTCCTGGTCTTTATTTTTATAAGGAGCTTTATTTTAATGCCTAAAGCAACTTGTGTAAGTAATGTGATTAAAATAGTGATTTTGGCAAAACCTCCTAATTTAAAACACGTCTTCTTCGATATCTTTTACTTAGATTTACACTTGATATTTGATCGTGTCTCAGTATTATTGGATGTCAATGTCGTTTTTTCCTTGTCATGACATAAATTGTTGCATATGTCACATGCCTGACAGTATATGTTATTCAACCCAAATAACTACTATTGTGGCTATATTACCTTGGGTTTATGGGTGCATTTACACCTGGATGTGATTCTTTTCTGCTCTGTCTGACTACACTCTAATTAGCCAGTTCTTATGTAGATACATGAGGGAACCAGGACGACCCTGATATTCATAGTGTGTGTCTTGTCGTTGATAACTGTGTCTCTGTCGCCCCCTGCTGTTCTCCAAGTGGTCTAGCAGGCCGTCACATTGCCCAGGCCAAGTTGATGCAGTCCTGTCTGGCCGCAGTGAAGACCTCCATGCTGGTAGTCCAGAGATCCCAAGAGACCATCAGTGCTGCCCTGCAGGCTGAACACAATCACTGCGAGCTGGAGGACACACTAAGCAGCCACCTGAGCTGTTACATACACATCCTCACTGATGGTAAGAAACAGAATGTGTACTGTGGAAACCTGCTGTAAAAGTAAACATGATAAATAAAAGGTGGTTTATACTCATGACGGATGCACTGGTTTTAAGGATATAACATAAGCCAAAGAAGTAATATACTGGTAAACATACCCCCAAAAAGGGTTGCACAATTAATCGCAATATAATTGAAATCGCAAAATTGCCAAGTGCAATATCCAAATCGCAGGAGCTGCAATTTTTCTGAGAAAGGTAAAGTGTGTCACAACATTGTTGTGGTGCTACAGAGGTGCCCCGGCCTACAAATCATATTCTTCACAAACAGAGGAACATGTTTGTTTGGTAAAAGACCCAACAAAAATCCCATCATCAATTATTTTTTTTTAAGTGAAATTGAAAAGCAGAAATGACCATCCCAATCGCAATATCTGCCAATATAATTGCAATATGATTTTTTTTGCATATTGTGCAGCCCTACCCCCAAAGAAATCCATCAATATCCATCAATATAAGTCTATAAATCTAATACTTAGAGCAGAGTGTTGAAGTCTGGGTACACAGAGACTCTGCACATTCCTAGTGCCCCCAAGTGTTTCAGTATTTGTTTGGAATCAAATTACATTTTCATGATACTTGGGATAATCTATCTAATACTGTCTTGTTTTCAAGATCTAGCCAGTGATATAGATATAGTGATATGCCCATTAGTCTATAAACCTAAAGAAAACATGAGTCTGAATAACCGTGCAGTGCAGGGTAAGCATTAGCTGCTGTCTTAATCTTGGTTTATTTTTTCTCATTTTGAATGATGTTTGCATAAGAAGAGGATATATATTTCTCTGCCATCCACAGGCCCACATGTACAATCAGATTTCTTTATAGCTGTGTTCACTGTAAATCTAATTGGTGTCCTCACTTTGGATTTCTTAAATTGTCTTATCAATACTCATTCAGGGAACTTTCTGAACATTTTTGCATGTGAAATGATGATTCCATTTATTGGCCGATAACTGTAGAATAAAACAAACATGAATACAAACAATAATACTGTACTGAGCAGCTTGAGTAGATGGAGTGCAGTGGTGATCACTGGGGCCTCCACTAATATAGATGAAGAATTTTTGTTTGTCATTAACACCCCACACTTTTGAATGAGTGAAATTTTAAGCTTAAGTATTATACCCACATACTTTCTTCTCACATTCTCACATT